GTTTTAATCAAGTAGTTAACCTTGACTCGTAATTAAAACGCCTTAAAGCATTTGGGGTCAAAATGGGTGGAGAAAGCACAGGAGACCTGCAGTCCCTACCTCCCAAAACAATTCTTGAGAGAAAAGAACGGATTAACTTAATCCTCCCGAGAAAAGTCAACCGGAATTCTCACGAAGTAGTTTGTCAGCTGGGCCATTTCCATCGAAACGTTCGAAGTTCCGGGGATATTTTTGGGACTCAGATCAAACGGAATGGTGGAAAAAGACCTGACTATCCGCAAAAGGCAAAGCCCACAGAAACAGGTTTCAGTAGAGTCAGTAAATGATATACTATCATTATAAGGACAACGAGGGTTACGCAGATGACACAAATACCACTGTAGGACATTTTGCGCAAAACAACGACAAAAAGAAACAAGTAGTACACAGTGCTCTGACCAAAGAGGCCAGATTTAAACCGTCCGAAAACAGAACGGGTCTGCAAAATGGAGTTCAAAAGGAAGTTGTAAGGCCTGAAATTGATATAAGCGTATCGGGATATATGAATGGTGCAAAATGTTAGTGCTTTTATGCAGATGCTCAGGGTCTGTCATTCACACTTGATGAACATATAATTTAACGTGCCGAACCTTTCAGCCTTGACAGTCGGCAATGCCCACCGTGTGCTCCACAGCAGAGTGAGAGCAGGGACGGTGGCCCGCACATGAAGTCAATTGAAGTCAGTTTATTTAGGGAATAAGGCTTTCACCCTTTAGCTTCTCATTCACTTCCGAAAATAACAATAGAATAAATCGTAGTACCAGTCAGTCACTTGAATAACAGCGGAAAATAGACCTAAAACAATTTAATTCAAGCCGAACAGTATAGCACAAATAGAAATATCCCATCATTTCTCTCCTTTGCATCTCCACCAGCTGACTCACCAGACACTTAAAGCCTCCACGCGACTACCACTAACATGCCTTTTGATAGAGCCCTATATATTTAGTTGTCCGTAAGGCTATATTGTGAATTAATTAAATCTATGTAAGACTATATTGGATTGTATGAAACAGCCGACCAATATTCCTATAATACTATATTAACAGGAACCATATGATACCTAATCCAATATTAATCTGATATCCCTGGCTGTGACTTATCACGGGAAATTTCGTGTCCTTGATACATACTCATCTTTTTTAGCTGTTAGTCCAGACAAATATGATTAGCCTTCTGGGAGACAAAAACGAACGATATGACCAGATCTAAGAGACTGCCCAAATAAACTGACGGCCGGCAATTGGCAGTCACCAAAATTTAATCATCTCGGGGATAATTTCAACGCCAAGTCGAGATCGAAGTTCTTTAAGTTCCATGGAAGTCAAAATATTCATGACCACAAAAACTTTCAACATCCAAAATAAAATCCTTATATTGTAAATCTCGTACTTTTTTCTAACCTCTGCTGTTATTTCGCCTTGCAAGTCATGTTTTTTAAACTTAGAACAAACTCCCAACTCGCTCTCTACTGACTAAGCAGACACCCAAAAGAAGTACAGACAAAGCTCGATGTAAATATATGAGTTTGGTTTGGGTTCTTTTCCTGTGCTCAAAGGACACTAGCAGCGCTCAAGAGGTGCTATAAAAAAACCCATTTTATTCTGCTATTTATCTGAAAATTTAAAAGATGTCCGTGTGTGTGAATCAGGGGCACATTGCCGCCACTGATGCTGACACTGAAAGACAAGAGCGGTTCTATCTAAAGCTGTGCTGGGATCATGAGAATTAGGGATATTTCTCCAGGAACCTCACTGATGTTTCCTTAAGTACGGTTTCCATTATTTTACAGCCCCAACTTCATTAAAAGAATTGGCGACCGATAATATCTGATACAGTGCAACCCCTCCCTTCTTGACTGCCGGCATTTTGTAGTCAGTTTTTTTCACTGCTGGCCGGATTTGTGTTTAACGCTTCACTGACAATACTTGTAAACTGACATTAAATACGATTATTATTATCATTATTAAATGCAGGTTAGACTGACGAGCCGATAATCGTTAACATTAGTTCGAGCCCCACCTTCGTAGATCGGACAGATATTGACTGTCTTACATTCAGATGACAATGATCTTACGGTTACCCAGCCCCTACAGCACTCTGTCCTCCCCACCTAGATCCGGTGCCACGACAGGACCAAGAATACCGGAAGTGGAAGAGAGCATAGGTGGCTAGCATGGCGAAAACCCGCACCCAGGCGTACCAACAAGTCCCATGTTCCATAACGTACACTGAGCAGAATTTTGCGACAAGAAAAAATGTAAGAGGCAGCTCGGAGCTCGTAGGACGGGAGTTCCATAGGGACAACATAAAAAAGCCATTGCAATCTGGCTATCAGACCACCAGCCCACCACTCCACACAAACGCACACTGGGCTTACTGCTAGGTCCGAGTTATCCCGTCAATGATCCCGTCAATGATATTTCGACTGAACTCGGAAATTCGCAAACTTTTACTTATGCCGATGACCTCAAGTGTGTTTACTCATACTCTAAGGACACCGCAAATGTTTGTGTTGAAAAAATTAATGCCGATTTACTACGCTTAAGCAGATGGGGTTTGACATGGCAGATGGAGTTTTCATCATCCAAGTGTAGTTTCATGTCTTTTGGTCCTACCAAACTTCCTGGTCCCATAATTTTTCAGAATAACCCACTCTCAGAATGCCTCACCATAAAGGACCTAGGTCTAAGTAATACAAATAAACTTGCTTTATCACCTCATGCAGATAGAATCTCTGCCAAAGCCGCGCAAATATGTGGATTCATATCGCAGAATTTTTTCCTTTCGGAAATGAAGCTAAGACTTTATCAAATGTTTGTTCTTCCAGTCCTCGAATACTGCTGTCCTTTCTTCGGTTTAATGAACGCCTGCGACCGTAATAAAATCGAAAATGTTCAGAGGGTTTTCGCCCGGAAACTGTTCTCTCAAGCTTCGTCCAGTATTTCTTATACTCAGAGATGTCAGCTGGCGAACATGAAGTTTTTGTGGGTTAGAAGACTCGAAGCTGGCCTTTGCTTCCTTTTTCGCATCAACTCTAGCTCCAGTCTTCCGCACATTGACACTCTCACTCCGAGAGATCGGTCTTATGCCACGCGCAACTCCTGCATGGTGATTCCGCCGCCTCTTTGTACTACATCTAAGCGCTCCCTCTTTTTTGCTTCCAAATATGCCTTCCTTCGGAATAATCTTCCGCCTGAAATTAGATTATCGCCCAAGTTACTGGTATTCAAGTCGAAATTACGCAACCATCTTACACCGGAAAGCATAATGGCACTGTTAACGGTCTCATTCCCGAACACTCAGATTCTTGACTTCGAGAAGGGTCCTCCTGGGATTTAGTGGTAGATCTAGTGGTAACTCTTAATTATATCATTAGAAACCCCTGTTTTGAATTGGTTTCTAAATCCACTGCTATCACTCCCCCCATAGCGACAATTTTCGCGGTTTTTGATGTCATCTCCCGCATTCCGACCTCATGCGGTCTGTCGACACTCACGGCGGAACCCTCAGTATTCACTGTTTACTAGTAGTTCGGTCGTACCTTCCTTCCCCACTGCTCGGCTGAGCTCGAAGCGTGCTGTGGCCGATCGCATCTGGGTTCCTCTCGTCTGGCCTCTTTGACGCGGCGTACCAATCCGGCCCAGACGATCTCGATTGTGAATCCCGTATACAATGCCATATGCAAGCCAGTCCTGTCTGACCCACATTCGTACCCATCAAGGCTGCATTTATTGCTACCCTGACGATGACCGACAACATTCCGTTATATACCGCCACCTACAGGCCAGACCTGCTCGCATTTTCCTGTCATTATTTTTATTGAGGGGTTTTTTTCTCCTGTAAAATTAATCCAATCATTTTTAACTTTTTGTAAGGAGTTTTTTTCACCCCTCAATCATCATGTTTCTCAATGGACTTCTAATTCAGAAACTTTTGATTGCATTTTGTAAAGATTCGGCCTACCTCGTCTAAAACCCGCATGTAAATTTATTTTAACGGGTCTTTAATAAAAATTATCTATCTAAAAATTATCTATCTATCTATTTTGCCACTTTCTAAGCCCCGGCTTTTGGTGCATCGTGATAGCCTCATGCGCGTCAGGTTGTTTACAGTGAGAACTTATGTGCTGTGACGACGACCTCGCACGCTATTCGCATTCCCATGTCCCAGGCACTGTCGGATCTATCAAGTTTCTGCTGCGTGGAATGGGCTCAATGACTGACAAAGCCAGAGACCTCGACTGTGCGTGTTACACATGACATGCCCCCATGCGCGCACACCAGGATTACACGCACAAGGAGGTAGAACGCTCTGATCTCACATGCAGCAGACGGACTACATGGGGAAAGGGGCCGGTGATGTGGAGTGTTGGAGGCGTTAATATGCGTCGCATATATTGATGAGGAAGTGCTTGGTGATGTAGACATGCCCGCGGTGATTTGCCGCAGGTTTTCATGAATGCGCATGTAACCGAATAGACCGATGCGATAGCTGAATTTGCAAGGACAATGCGGTCAATCGAGGCGATAACGTCTGATGTATGTTGGTGCCTCAGGCACTGGTTCGCCTGTCTCTGTGCAATGGGTTAGAAATGTACGACCTGGCCTGCGGTGACGGTGGTGCAGGAGAGGTTGGATGATGTTGAATCGGTTTTCGTTGTGATGCTGCCAGTGATAGGCGCGCTTGTTGATGGGAAAATAACTAGGTTGGGAATGGAAGGGACGCTGAATGTGCAAAATATGTTAGCCGTGTCGATTCTGCGATGAATTCCGCCGTTGTGCATACACATGTGGCCGAATATGCCAATGCGGTGTGCGAATGTACGTGGACAGTAAATACGGATGGTGCGAGTGTGTGCAGGGCTCCCGGCACGGTTACACCGGTCGCAGTGCTGTGAGTTTGCAAGTGGCCGACCTGGCCGATATGCAGGGTGAATGTGCGATCGCAGAGAGGACAGGTTAGGGCAGAGAGTCCACATCGCTGAGGATGGGGGTGGTGATTGACAGGCTGTCGGAAGCGTTTTGTTCGGTGCTGGGAATGGGGGTTGTGATGGTCGCCGTCGTCGTCGCGGCGGTTGTGACACGGATGATGGAAATGGCGGGGATCGACGGCGTCGGGGTGCAGGAATGTCGAGCATCGATAACGAAGACGGTTGTCGCAGTGTACGCCTTGCAGGGCTGGAGGAGGGGCAGCCGTGGAGGCAGCATTTGGAGTTGATAAACTGTTGATGCATTGAGTCCGGAAATGTCCGATGGGGACACAGTGAGAAGAGGCCGTTGCGGCCTGACTCTTGAGACAGGTCTTCAGAGTATTCTTGTATCGACGGATTTGACCTCCTTGGCGGTGCGAAACCGTGGCGACATCGCCACAGAAGAGTCGTATGGCTAGCTACTCGTCGTGCATTCGCACGAGATGGCCGCTCCAACCCAATTGCAGTTGTCTCAGCATGGCGTAGATTCTGAGGATTCCTGTCCGCTTCAGTAAGTCAGTGTCGGGGATTCGGTCCTGCCACCTCAGCTTCAGTATCCTCCGGAGACAGATGAGGTGGGAGTGATTGAGTAGGTGTGCCTGCATCATGCACACCATCTAAGTCTCTGCTGTATACACCAACGTTAGGAGGATGACGGCCTTGTACCTCGTCAGTTTCGTGTTGAGTTGAAGACCGTGTCGATTTCAGACAGTGTTTTGCAGTGGGCCGAAAGCCTGTTAGGCCTTGAAAATACGGCGTGCAACTTCATCGTCAACTCTGGTGTTTTAAAAGAGGGTGCTGCCCAGATACGCGAAGTTGTCCACCACTTGCAGCTGGGTTCCGTTCACGCTGAGTTGCGGCGACTTGTGGGCTGTGTTTGGTGGCGGTTGGTGCATGACCACCGTTTTATCCGTGTTAATGGTCAGGCCAAACTCCTCGCATGCGGCGGAGAACAGGTACATGCTCCTTTGCATGTCCCCTTCTGACGTGCGTTGAGGGCGCCGTCATCGGCGAAGATAAGTTCGTGGATGGTAGTTGTGGATACGTGCGACTGGAAGTGCATCTGTCGGCGGTTGAGAAGGTGGCCGTCCGTCCTTTAGCCGATGCGGATCCCGGGACTTTCGCCACGATGGGCGTTCATCAGCACGTCAGAGAACATGAGGCTGAATAGCGTAGGCGAGAGGATGCTGCACAGCTTCACTCCGTGAGTCGCTGCAAGTGCCTCTGAGACGATTCCGTTGCCCGTGAAGCGCACCGTCAGGCCATCGTGGAGCTGACGCACCATCCGAGTGAATCGTTCGAGACAGCCGAATTTCTGTATGATTTACCTCAGTCCTTCGCGATTCGCCGTGTCGAAGGCTTTCGTCAGATCGACGAAGGGAGAGTAAGGGTGAATCCGTATCTCCTGACACTTTTCCCGCAATTGTTGGGCGGCGAAAATAAGGTCGATGGTTCCACGATGACGGCGGAAGCCGCGCTGGCTTTCCGGCAGGGGACCTTGTTCAAGATGGGTGTTCAGGCGGTTGAGGAGGATGCGAGCGAAGATCTTCCCGACGATGTTCAGTAAGAGATTCCTCGGTGGTTGTCTCAGAGCTGGCGGCTCCCTTTGCACTTGTAGAGGTGGACGATTGTGACGTCCCTGAAATCCTGTAAGACTTCTTCTTGACGCCACGTCTCGTGGAAGAG